GTTGGCTTCTCACATACTCCATTGATGTGGAATCGGCCTTGGCCAATCCTTTTTAATGACCGGGTCCAGCTCAGTCAGCCTGGCGACACTCCTACCTGTGTTCCAGCCTTCCCTGAGAGCCCTTCCTCCCATCTGCAAAATATAGGGGAAACTGAGGCACACATAGGAGACATACAAATCTTACAGAAAAGTCCCACTTTGTGATACCTACTCCCTGTTCTTGTTAACATCGTATGCTAAGTGTAACTGGCTCTCCTGTGTCTGACGCTGAGCTGCCCTCGGTTCCCCAGAGCCACACTGAGAACAAAATTCCCAAGCTCGGTTGTTCTTTGCACCTCATCCTTGTGCCTGCCCCGTGCTGCTGACAGCTCTCTCTGGGCTGCCCCGGCTGTTGGGTAGCTGGCCTATGCCCATGTGCATTGAGCCTGCACCCTCTGCCTGGCCCCCACCAGTGGTGGCTGAGATCTTCACCAGTCTGTGTGCCTGAATGCGGGGACTTCCTGCCTGTCCCTGACACGGGGGAGGTGGAGCAGGGTCCCTGGGGGGGAGGATCCCTCCACAGCTGCCCCAGGATTCTGCTCCACTTACCGTTTCGTTCCCGTGCTCCTGGCCCAGTTCATCGCTGGGACGTGGAGGATGCTTGGGGAATTCCAGCCCTGGGGAACAGGATGGGGCTGGTTGGACCCCCAGCCAGTTGGGGTCACTCAACCATCTCCCCGGCTGTTGGGCCGTTTCCTCAGCCCCTCATCTGTCCCATTCCCTTGCAGCCTCACGTGGAGGGTCCCTCCTGCAGCAGCTGCCGTGCCAACCATTTCCACCTGAGCACCGAGAACCGCGAGGGTTGTCTGCCCTGCTTCTGCATGGGTGTGACCCAGCAGTGCACCAGCTCCTCCTACTACCGGGGCCTGGTAAGAGCCCATCTCCCCCAGCCTCCTGGTCCAGTCCCGCAGGGTGCCTGGCTTGCAGGGGCCCCTGGTTGGATTCACATCCCTCGGTGTCTGTTCCCGGCAGGTCACTAGCCCCTTCCTCCCAAGCGACTTCCAGAACTTCGCCCTGGTGAACCGCCAGCACAGCACCCGCATCGTGACCGGCTTCGTCGTGGAGCAGTCAGCCGAGGGGCCGCAGCTCTCCTTCGGGCGCTTCGGCCAGCTGGGCCAGGAGTCCTACTACTGGCAGCTGCCCGGGCCCTACCAAGGAGACAAGGTATGGCAAGAGCCCAGGGCCCTGCCCGTCTCCCTGCCCCACCGTGGCTGGAGAATGGTTGAGGGGCCCTCTGGGGCCAGGCCCATGGCGCGTTTCTGTGCGAGAGCTCTGCATGCCCGGGGCTGGCACCCTGAGGCCCTGGGCTCCTGCACTGGACCAGTGATGCACCCAGCTTTCCTCCAGCTCTGCCGAGCAGTGGCTCTCACAGTGCTTTACAGAGGGCAGTACTGTCAGCCCTGTGGTACAGATGGGGAAACTGAGGCACAGGCCTGCGCTGTTGTGTCTCCTGGGCCACTGTCATCAGCGTGTGATCCCTGAACCTGTGAGCATCCCCCTCAGCCCCATGCTGAGGCCAGAGCCCCGGGCAGGGGATAGCACTGGCTCTAACGGGCCCCGTCCCTGAGGTGAGCAGTGCCATCGCCCCTTGGAGACCCCCCAGACCCCCACCTCACACGGACCCAGCCGTGCCGACAGCCCAGAGCAAGCACAGAGCCCGTCCCCTGGGGATTGCAGCTGAAGGGGGCATGAGCTCTGTCAGGAGCCTGGGGGGCTGTGGCTCTGTCTCTGGGAAGGGGATTTGCCCCATGAAGGCAGGGTTGCCTAGTGGATAGGGACCGAGGTGGGACTCAGGAGATTGGGGCTGTTTCTCTGGCCTCTTGTGTGACCTTGGGCAAGTCACTTACCAGCTCTGTGGCTTTGCTCTCTGCAGCCTGGGGGCTGTGCCGCCTACTCCCAGCAGGAGCCCACTCTAGGGGCTTCGAGACGAGCAAGGTCCCGGCTCCCTGGTGGCCTCCGTGGGTCTGTCTACACTGTGCACTAACCCCAGGCTCTGACTCAGATTTGAGCCCAAGCCCCTCCTCCATCCACACAGAAATCAGACAGATTCAGGCGTGCAAGCCCACAAACCCTGGCTCCTAGGACCCTGCTGGGCATTCGGTCAGAGCCTGGGTCCAGCCGCGACTTGGCTCCAAGTATGGACACAACTCGAGCTGCAGCCCCGAGGCAGGGCTGCGCAGTGCAGTGTGGACGTGTTCGCACGGGGCCAGCCATCGCAAGCCCAGCTTTCCAACGAGTCGACAAGCACGGGTCCCAGTCGTGGGTTTCCATGCAGTGTAGACACCCTGTGGCATGATGCCCAAGTAGGCAAATCGGCACCCGACGCTCAGTAGATGTGCTCGCCGTGCGGTGATGTCCCAGGATCACAGGACAGCGTTGTGTCTGGAATGGACTGTACTTACTCCAGACACCCCTTCCCCACAGGGGGCAGCACTGGGCCACCACAAGGGGGGCAGAGCTGGGGGCTGCATTCCACACCCACTGCTCCCCCTGGCTGGGCGTTTGTTCTAGATCAATCAGCTCTGCCCCCCCTTCCCTTGAGCCCCAGCAGGTGGAAGGAGAGAATGACTCTGCCCTTACGGGGGGAAAGGGCCCAATTCACTGTCTGTGACCAGGAGAATTTCTTCCTTCCCTGGGTGCCAGCCATGTGCCGGCAGTGCCTGCTGTGTGCTGGGAGCACCAGCCATTTCTCAGGAGTGCCCGCCGTGTGCCGGCAGTGCCCGCCGTGTGCCGGGAGCACCAGCCATTTCTCAGGAGTGCCCGCCGTGTGCCGGCAGTGCCCGCCATGTGCCGGGAGCGCACCTGTGTGCCGGCAGTGCCC